TAATTTTCGCCGACCGAAAGAACCGGGGTAGTTCCGCGCTTTTCGAGGAGAAGATTCGCCATTTCTCGTATTATAGAAGGCCGGGGGGCTGATCCACGAGAATCTATAGAGAGAATCCATTTTTAAAGAGAATCGTCTTTAATATCTGTTAATTTCTGGTAATTTACGCGGGTTTCGGAGCGATTTATGAGACCATTAAGGCGGTTCCGTAAAGAGGAGAATGGCACTTTAAAACGACGCGATGCTTCGCGTATAGAGGTAATTTACTGGTTTTTAATAGCCTCGATAGCTAATAAAAGCCTACCCTCTTACTCTGCTGAATTACTAGAGGATCGGGAGCGAATCAGTGGCATAGTGGGTGGTTGAAGTGGTTAAGTGGTAATTCATGGATGTGTTTTCGTGTCGCTGATCCACTCGGTGGTGAAATACGTTATATTACTTTATTAACGAATAGTAAAAAATGTGGCCCTCGCTACTTCGAACGGCTAAGTTTACCTATAGTAACGTAGTTAGTGCGGTAATAGGAATATCTCCGTTCTAAGCACTACTAGGATTTAACTTGAATACGCGCTAAGGACGGTTGCGTCGAGAGGGAAGCGCTAGTAGTATTATCTCGTTTCGAAAAGCTAATAGAGTCTGAGAAAAACTATAGACTTCGTGGCGAAAAGCCACCGAAGCATAGGCGTTATATTATAATAAACGTTATACCGAAATATCGTTTAAAAAAACGACCTAGTGGTCTTATTAATAAGGAACCTACGCCTAAAAGAAGGAACCACTAAAAAGCTATGCCTACGATAGGTAGGACCCTTTAGGATTCGAGAATGCGTTAGAAAATAAGCGTATCGACTCCGACTCTTAGATAAATATAGGGTAATTTATAACGTATTCCCTATCTAACTACTACGACCCTAATAATAAAGGGAAGGCGAACCAGAATAACTACCCTTACCCGAGCCAGTAGACGACGGCGAATAGGAAGTCGAAGAGATTAAGGATTATTAGAGATTCGAAGACGAACTATATTATCTAGTGAAATGGGTCGGGTGGCCCTTAGAGCCAAGCTCACGATTAAACCTTTTAATGCTATTAATACTAACTTCCTTCGCCCCTCTAACCTTCTACCGATTCCACACTCTCTTACTCGCGTTAGCCCCGATCGGAGAAAGGCATATGTGCTTTATAATAATATGGCATATAAAGAATGGGTTGAGTGGTGGCTATAAACCGACTATAGGCAGAAAAGTAAGATTTCCTGGGATTTAAATCGCAATTCAAATATATGGAGTAACTTCGACCAAGTTACCTATACCAAAGATGGTGCGCTAAAGGTGATGTGTAAGCGCTGCTCAAAGATCCTAGAGTATCCTTATTCTCCATCACCTAGCGGGAAGGGCTAGCATGGTACATTAATAATATTAAAGCATTTAAAGATAGTAGGCTGTCGTAAAGCTTAATAGGGAGGGAAAGGAGAAATTACCTAGTTCCTGTGACCTGCCAGTTCTTCAACAAAAAGAGTGCATTTTATTCAGAATACTAAGCATAGAGAGAGAAGGAAAAGAAAGAAAAAGATCTACTGGGCAGGATCCTTTGTGGGATCCTGTCGCAAACAAACAAGCTAAACTTGGCAGGCGGTCAATGACGGCAGAAAGTATTCGGCCGAAGAATCCAGATCGTCACATAACCCCCGGCTAAAACTGCATTCAGTCTCTGAATGCTGGCTTATCGTCATCAACGTGCTCATCGAGTATGGCATCATTCTGAGAGGCATTAACCCAGTCTTATAAACGCATCGGGGGTCTAGGTTTAGAAGGATACCGGTCATGGAATTCTTGAACCTTCTGCGGTGCATGCCTGAAATTCCCTGCGGGATACCACTGTAGATCTAGATCATGCCCTAGCCACTGTACTCGGTACTGTAGCTTCCGGTAGTAGGTCCTCGCATCCAGCAATTTATCGACTTCCCATTCATCCTCTTCGTTAATCCTGATTAGCGGAGAAGGATCAGCATGCTGTCCTGTCAAAGGTTCAGTTATTACCGCTTTCCGTAGCTTACTAGCATGAAAAACTGGGTGCACCTAGATTAAATCCGGCAATTTAAGTTCGTAGGAGTTACCGATTTTATTAACAATTTTATATAGGCCACTCGCTAGGTGAGCAAGCTTCCGACCTAGCTAAGTAAGCTGCCAGTCTTTCGTTATCACGAAAACGTAGTCATTAACACCGAAATCTTCCTCTCTCCGATGCCGATTTACCTGTCGGACTTATAACTACTGTGACTTTATAATCTGCTCCTTTATCTGGGTCCAGATCTCTTATAGATTAGAAAGCATCTGCACGGCGTCTTACTCATTCGGTGTCACAGTTTCCTAGTCTCTCCAGTCGAAAGACATAGCCGGTTCGTATCCTCTCTCGATGAAGAACGGGGACTTCTTTATAGTATCTTAGGGAAGGATAGAAGCTGCGAAATCTACTATTAGTAGTATTTCTGACTAATTATCCTGGTTCTGTTTAACGTACGGTCGTAGTCTCTAGGCCATGTACTAATTCGTAATCTCACTCTGACCGTCGGTCTGGGGATGGTATGCAGTTAATAACTTCCTCTTAATCCTAAGGATTCTACAGAACTCAGTCCAGAATTCGGAAACGAACTATCCTCCGCGGTCAGAGATAATAGTCTCTGGGATGCCGGTGGTTCGTATCACATTATCGATAAATAACCGAGCCATCTGCTTCGCATTCGTATCTTTATAGCAAGGAATGGAAATCGGTCTCTTACTAAAGCGGTTAACTACCACAAAGACAGTGTCGTATCCGTGTCGGTCCTTCGGGAAAGAGCGGAAATCCATTAAAATATGCTGCTAAGGTCTCTCTGGGATAGGAAGGGGATGCAGCAGACCAGGGGTCCGGTCTCTCCATGCTTTAGTCCGCTTACAGACTAAACAATTATCCACATATCGCTTAATATCCATAATCCATCCGGGCCAGTGGTATCTTATAGAGATAAGCTTCTTTAGCTTTTCTATACCGGGATGTGAGGTCATTAGTTATCGATATACTTCGTCAAGTAATCTAGCACGTAGATCATTTTCATCTAGAACTTCTAGGCGCTCTTTAAAGAGGAGGAGTCTATCTCGGAGGGTCCATTTCGGATTACTCCCTTCTTCTGCAATCCGCCGGAATTCGTTAAGCTCCGAACTCTCACGGTTTACCTGCTTCACTCTTTCAACAATTTCCTATACGTTCTCTGGTTAGATTAGGTTTAAATCCAGCGGACGAACACCCTTCTCTAGACAGTCTTCCGGTAAGAGCGTCAGCTATCTACCATTATCGACACAAGGTGACTCCTTTCTTAATAACACATCTGCCACAATATTTTTCTTTCCTGGTCTATATTTAATCAAGAAATGGAATTACGAGAGGAACTCGCTCCACCTCGCCTATCGTTAGTTCATTTATCGGGTGGTCATGAAGTATTCTAGGGATTAATGGTCTGTGAGAATCTCGAAACGATCCTATCGCGCGAGACCCTCGAGCTCTGGTCTCCATTCCTGTAATGCACGGATGATAGCAAGGAGTTCCTTATCTCGCACTTCGTAGTTTAACTCTGCAGCCTGCATAGTCTTTAAATAGAAAGCCACTAGATGCCAGAAATCGTCATCTTCATAGTATTAAGACAATATTACTCCTAACACACCGTCTGAAGCATCAGTTTCTACTCTTATTTTTCGCGCTAGGTCGTAATAACGGAGTATTAGTGCAGTGATCAGCTTCTCCTTTAGGAGCGTGAAGGCTGCTTCATAATAGGTAGACCACTCGTACGGGACGTCATGCCGCGTTAGTCGGTGTAGAGGTTTCGAAATCAGACTATATCCCTAGATAAATCGTCGATAGAAGTTACAGAACCCGAGGAAGGATTACACGCCTTTCACTATCGATGGGGTCTTCCATAATTAGATCACCCGGATCTTCTTAGGATCTACCATAATGCCATCTGTACTCACGATAAACCCAAGGAACTTAGTCTTCGTAACAGTAAATTCACACTTCGAGAGAGCAACTTATAATCCGGCCTTCTGTAGGCGGGAAAGCACTTCTCTCACTTATCGCTGGTGCTCTTCAAGAGTCTCACTATAGATAAGGATATCATCCATAAAGGCAACTGCGTATTCATCCATACATTCTCGTAAGATGTTATTCATAAACCGCTGGAACGTAGCTAGTCCATTCGTTAACCTAAATAGTGTCACTTTATACTTAAAGGATCTATATCGTGTCCTAAAGGTTATCAGATCTTCTGCTTCCGGGGTTAAACGAATCCGGTGGAAACCCTGTCTGATATCAAGCTTTATGAAATACTTTGCTTTACTGGTTCGTTAAAGTACTTCGTCGATCAGGGGAAGAGGGTAATAATCCTTCTTAGTAATTACGTTCAGTTTCCGGAAATCCACACAGAAACGGAGTCCACCACCAGGTTTCTTCGCCATTAGGATTAGGGATGCGTAAGGGGAAGCGCTTAGCACAATAAAGCCTTTATCCAGATTCTTAACAATATACTGTTTCGCCGCTTTCAGCTCGTCAAGAGATAGCTTATAAAGGGGACAGTAACCAGGTTATGCTTCGGCTTTAAGAACGATATCATAATCCACACCGGTTCTGTATAGGGGTAATTCGTCTGATTTCTTTTTCGAGAACACTTCGACTAGATCATAATACTCCGACGGTAATATCCTCTTAATCTCTCGGAGTTCGGGGTCCTCATTACCGGATGACTTCATAGTGAGAATCCGATCTATCTCACAGAGTGAGGTAGTAAATATCTCGATTCCTCCGGTAGGATTTCTCTTCTTTCGTGCTTCCCATCTATCGAATCCGACTCTTCCAATTACACTAATATCAATTATAGGAAGGGGAGATTTATCTTCCTTCTCGTAGGAGAGCGGAACATTTAGTATCTCATCCTTAATATTCCGTACCATCTTTCTCTGCTCTTATATCTGCTAATGACCGTACTGGCGCTCACGAGCGTGAGGGTAGATATCCCCCCTTAGCTTCTGCATCCGTGTAGTTATCTCTGCTAGCTCGGAGAGACGATCTCTTCGGTCTACGTCCTTCTGGTGAATATCGTCCTGCGGAGATCTCTGCAGGATAACCTTCGGGGTTAGGACAGAGATCTTACTTACCACCTCATCGAAAAGAGTTCTTTCATCTGGCCAAATCATTCGGTGTCGTCGGTAATTAAGGAGGACATCATGCTCAGCGAACCACATTCGTCCGAGAATCATGTCATATCGTCCTAGGTCTGCAATTAACATAGGGATCTGACGCTGAATCCTTCCATCGATATAAATTATAAGGACAGCCACATGTCGTATCGGCTCTGCTCGTTTACCGTTAAAACCTCGTACTGGGCATTCACGACTCAGTTTCTCCACCCTAAGTCCGAAACGCTTACTAAGTAATATAACCATTAACGAATTAATAAAAACGTATCCATCTGCTCCAGTGTCACTAAGTGCTAAAATAGAAAATGAGCGTCCATTATGCATTAGCTATGTATTAAAAACTAAGCTATCTCTGGGACCCCTAATTAACTTCTGTAAATCCAGCGAGAAAAGTGACACCTTCCGTCCGCCTAGGAGGGAGACTTCGCCTAGGCAGGAGCTTTTCCCGAATCGGTATCGGCTTCTAGCTCCACGATCTCGTCCACACGGGGAGGGTTCATAACGGGAGTAGTTATCATAACAGCGAGAGTCGGTTTCTTCTTCGGATAATCACGGGTCATATGTCCATGTTCCTTACAGTTAAAGCATCGTCCTTCTCTCATTAAGGTCTCTCTTTCAGAGGCAGATAGGCTCGGAGTGTACTCGCGCTTCACGCGGGGAGTGCTTAGCTGGTTCACGGTAGATGCACCTCCGGCGCCGGCAGCGGGGATCGTAGACCGGGTACGTGAGGAGGTCTTTGCTTCCTACTGAAGACTGATCTCGTGAGCCATACTCTAGCAGCTCTGGGTGAATGCATCGAATGAAACGGTATTCTGGTTAACTGCCCACATAACTTAGCCCTAAAGCAGGTACGGGAGTTTCGAGTATAGGTCTCGCTTACGGTTCTCGGCGATAACGACAGCCTCTTCGGCGAGCTGCATGAACTCCGTAAGGAAATCAGTGAAGCTATCCTTAGGTTTCATCTTAAGCTTATGGTATGCTGTGTATGCTTCTGCACGTCTGTTTAGGTTCGCGAAGACAGTCTTCAGGTGGTAGATAATATCCTCAGCGTCTGCGTACGGAAAGCTGGCATCGGAACTCATCCGGGGAGCAATGTGTAGCTAAGCTTTACCTTCACAACGACTCTGAACGTAGAGCTTACGATAGATAGGTAAAGGGTAGTGGTCAGCATTCGCCTTAAGCTTCTGACGAATCACAGTCTCCTAGGTTTCGAATCGGACTTCCTTTCCATCATTCAACATAGGTGCATCAGGCATTTTCGTAGACTTTCGGTTAGCAGCGGCCTCTATAATCGGTGCGCCGGTACGGGTATTCTAACTCTGAAGATTCACGAGACGGAAGGCAAGGTCGCCGCGCTCACGAATAGCAATATCTCGGTGGGCAATAGCTTCGTCACGCTTAATACGGAGTGATTCATTCACGATATCAGTCTCAGTTCTATCTACCTTAAGCACGACAATCTCATCTTCGAGTTCTTAAACCAGATTCTGTAATCTCTGGTGGTCACGAGCGAGTTCAATGAATCTCTCTTTACTCGGTGTCTGGCGCAGTCGTGCGCGGATCGGTTATTCTTCCTCTTCATCATGTTCACCAGTGTCAACTGGTCTCTGCGGATCGGGGGTCGGGGTACTCGGTTCGAGAGCAGCGACAGGCTCCTGCTCATGGCTTTCGGCATCTTCATCAGGCACGGCAGCGGGTTACCTGCCACGGTTCATCGGTGGGTTTCGCTTTAATCTAACCATCCTGATTAGTCGGATTCTTCGGTTCGGGTTCGGGATTAACGTGGGTCAAGGTCTTGGCTGTACGGTGCCAAGGAACGAAAGTGGGGATGTGACAGGGCCGAAACCAATCAAATTGATGGTTTATACAGCCGTACTGTCAATGAGAATTGAGAGTGATGCTTAGTATTATGTGACCTGCCAGTTCTTCAACAAAAAGAGTGCATTTTATTCAGAATACTAAGCATAGAGAGAGAAGGAAAAGAAAGAAAAAGATCTACTGGGCAGGATCCTTTGTGGGATCCTGTCGCAAACAAACAAGCCAAACTTGGCAGGCGGTCAATGACGGCAGAAAGTATTCGGCCGAAGAATCCAGATCGTCACAGTTCCTTTAATAAGTAGTATCTCCTTACCTCTTTATTTAATTATCCGATTTCCCTAACACTCCTAGATATATAAGATCACGGCTTACGGGAGGCTCCCTTTTCACAGTTAGCATAGGAAGAGCATCTTCTCTAATTTCTCACCCTTAATCGGCTTCTATTCCACCTTATCGAACATCTAACATTTCATAAGCTATTCCGATTAGCCCGCTCCGCACCATCTCTCCCTCCATTACCCTCCGCTGCTATAATACGTCGTCGTTTACGTGATATTATTATAGAACGACAGAAATCTATCCTCTAAACACGTAAAAATCTCGATCGCATTAGATTACTAGACTTCTCTATATAACCAGGCGTTCATGGCTATTAGTAGCTATTTTATTAACAGTAACTAGGTATACTCTAAGAATAAGGAGGTTTCTTAATTTCACTTACCTTATTTATTAACCGGCCCTTACATTCTTTTACAAAAATTACAGACCCTCCTTTACGGAGGGCCCGCCACCCAAACGGAGGGGATCATCTAAACGTAAGATTTTTTATCATTTCTTAATTTCATCTTTAAACACTAACCAGTCCACCAGATATACCTAAATCTACCTAATTCACCAGGATCAGATCAGTAAGACCATTAATAGCCTATCGGATTAAATAAAGCCTAATAGTATAAGAAAAGGCTCTATATAAATATATTAATTACTTTAACTCGGTGGAAGTATTAATTAATCGTTAATAAATCGTGGTCGCTGCCGATTTAATTCTCGAAGTTAACTATAAAGACCCTTTAACCGAACCCCTATAAATAGGCAACCATTAGCTAAAACGGTTTCTTAAACGTTATCCTAAGTACTATATACGACGCCGGCGAGCTCTTAATGTCGAAAGAGCCACTACACTTAATAAATCTATAGTAGAAAGGTGGTTTAAAGACTATATTCGTATAGTTAGGATCCACGGCATTAACCCCCGAGATATCTATAATTTTAACAAAACTAGCTTTTAAATTAGTGTCGGTCGTAATTAGTTTATTATTATTATAAGAGAACTAAAAAAGAAGCTAGTTAATAGATCTATTATAAATCGCGAATCTATCACTAGTTTAGAAGCTATTTCGGCCGATAGTTTTATTTATCCTCCGCTTATTATTTGAAGTATAAAATAAGCTCTCCTACGCTAGTTTAATACCATTAAAGCAGATAAGTATATCGTAGCGATAGATACATTAATAATACCCTACCTAGCACTTTAATGGATTAAGCTATTTTATAAGTGGATAAAAACTCGTACGATTAGTGGATATAGGCTATTCTAGATCCTACATAACACGCTAATTCGTCGAATTTTAGAAAGAATAATATTATTTTATTCTTTTTACTTTCCCATACTAGTTATATACTATAGCCTTTAGATATAGGCGTGTTTAGCGTCTATAAACACTAGCATAATGAGGCTATTAAAGCCGCTACTAAGACTAGCTACCGTAAATTCATGAAGAACGAATTCCTCCATTCTATCACAAAAATCAGAGAAAAGACCTTTCGTCCGCACATAATTAAGCTCGGATTTAAATTAATAGGCCTTTAGCCTATTAATCCGAAGCTAATTACGGACGAATTAATGACATACGACCCCTATCCTAATAATCTATAGAGATTGAATACCCCTTTAATAACATCTTAATATACCGACTTTAGAACCCTGAAAATAGCTAAAAAAAAGTCCGAAGAATTAGCGATCGTCTTGATTATACCCTTACCTCTTTACGATTTAAAGAAGGGCTTACGAAGCTTATACAGGGAGCTAAGGTGTAAGCCACTTTAGCGTACTAACTATAGCGGGAATTCGACGATATAAAAGCTATTATAGGAGTACGCTACGCCCGATATAACGCTTCTTATCGTTATATATAGATCACTGGCATCGTTAATGCTAGTTAGATCAGAGAAATTGAAAGAAAAGAGTATAAATTAACCGAAAAAGCCGATTAAGAAAAAATAAGACGGAAGTAGAGGAGGATATTAATTAAAATCAGGAAGCTTAGAAGGGCCAAAAAAACGTCAGGGAAATTAAATTGATTTTATATTTATATAGTAAATTAATAAGTTAATTCATATACTATTTTAAATTAATTAATTTGCTATGTGGTTATGTAGTAAATGGTGGTTAAACAAATGATAAAAAATCTTACGTTTCGTTGATCCCCTCCATTTGGTTGATCCCCTCCGTTTGGGTGGCGGACCCTCCCCTCCGTAAAGGAGGGTCTGTAATTTTTGTAAAAAAAATGTAAGGGTCGGGTAGTTAAAAGTGAAGTGTTTCGATATAGGAAGGAACTATAACGGAATAAAATAATATATTATTTAAATTTTATGCCATAATTCATATAAAAACTAGGTTTTCTGGGGCCCTAGTTAGCTCTAGGTTAGGCTCGGGCTAGAAAATTTAGTTAGGGATATGATAATCTAGGATCTTAATAGTAATAAGTTATATCCTTACCCGGTCCTCGCTAAGTAACCTAATCCCCTTCCGGTAATAAGGTTACCACACCACAACGTAATGTAAATCCTAATTAATGCACCATCTTTACCATTTTATCACCCACTAACCTCTAAAAAAACGCCAGATTTAGAGGATGGCATTATGAATGTTATATCGGCCTAGATCACATGTAAGAGACTAAAATAGCCCCGTTAGCGCGCGAATTCGGAGTCCCCTATCATACCTTCTGGGATAGGATTAACGGTCGGGTTTCTCGCTTAAGCATCCGCCAAATTCATTTAACGATAAATATCGATTAAGAGTAAGTAATAATTAGCTAGATTAACCTGCTAGATAATACCTACCCTTCGCTAACTACTAAGATAGTTTAAGCCTATATAAATGTAATGATCGCCCGCGAACACCTATCGCACCCGCCGTTTAATAAGAAATAGTCGTACCGGTTTCTAAAGCGTATTCCACCACTTTGCTATATGCATTTTCTAAATTAAAACCTAAAGGAAAAAAGAAAAAGAATATAAGCCGAGAATCTAGGCTACCTAGCTGCTTAGTACTAGCGGTTAAATTGATATATCTAAAGTAACAATTTACGACTATATAATATTTATAACTTTACCAAAACTAGCTTCTAAATCGGCTAAGGAAAAACTTAAAAGGTTATAAAAATTCCGACTACGTACTCACTAAATAGAGGGGTATCTAAATGTATCTATCCCTAACATTAAATGCGTTACTACTAATAGCTAGTTAGTGTCACTATGGTTCCTAGTTAAAGGTAAATACTATATAGAAAATTAGTATAAAGGGACTAATCCTCCGGATAACTTAGTTATACTCTATTTATTACCCTTTATAGGTATACGACTAATGATATAGCTATTTAATGGATTCATGCTTTTTACGATACTATAAAGGGTCGTACCTCCTAGGGAAGAAACGCCTATTATTAATGGATAAACATAGATCCTACCGTACGCCGGAGTTTATTCATTTCGTAGCATTAAAAGGCATTATTCCCTACATAACCTATCTCTACTGACCGCTAGGTAGTAAGCCTTTTCTAGTATTAAAGCATTACTATTAGGAGAATGATAATACCATTATTTCATAGGGTGGATGCATCGACCGAAAGTCGGATTTTTTTCGAGAGATTATTAGCGTCCGTGAAGCTTTTATAACCCGAGTAATTCAATCGGCATTTACCAATTACGGCATTTCTCTCTTTAATTATATAAGGGTACTTAATCCTCTTAAAAAAGAGGTAGATTTAGTGATGATCTCGTTATATTTAATAGTAACGATGATCAAGAAGTTATATTCCCGAGTTTAATTACTAATCCCCCCCTAGGGAGTTATTTGTACAAATAAAAGCACCTAGAAATTAGAAGCGGAGATTGATTTACTCGATAGTGAGCTTTATGCTTCTATCCGCCACGGATTAAAGCTACTATACTAAATTTAGTGCATGGATTTTAGCTAAGCTTACCGCTTAGCCTACTACCGATAATCTTTCTCTTTTAAAGCATAAAAAGGGCCGGAAATCCCCTATAACTAGGGGGCAGATTAATATAGGGGCCCCCCGTACTGCTGGTAATGTAAACGGTATGATCCGAGTAAGAGAATCTAGGGAGTAAGCGATAGAAGAGAGGCAGTTAAAAAAGTGAAGTGCGAAGTAATCGACTGCCGAGGAATCTCCTAAAACCGCACGCCGGTTTATTCTATGGATTCCACTGATGGACGATGTAAATATTAATTCATTAGCACTTTTGGGAATTTTTAATAGGCGTTATTAGGGGTGAAAATATAAAACTAATTAGTGCGTTCTTTAGAATTTACATTATATAAGACTTTGCATTGCGGTGTGGTAACCTAATTGGGGTATTAGGTTACTTAGTAAGGACCGGGTATAGTCTTATTCTAATAATTATCTATTACTAGTTTTATATGACTAGATGTCGTTATTTCTAAGCCGCTGCTATCCTAGGGAGAGAGCTATAGCCGTTTTATTATAATTATCTCGCTTATATAAGATATTCTTATAATTCTAATAACGTATTTCACTACCGAATGGCCACTGCCCCTAAGTGACTACCCTAAATCTACATATTAAATTTAAATTCATATAACGTATTCGGTAAGCGAGCTGGCCATGTAAGCCAGCTGGCCACCTCACCCAACCCATTAAATTCAACTATATTTATCTCAACCAAAACACCATTAAATTAATTCAATTAAATTGATTTGTCTATCTGGACATGTTTCTCTTCTATGCCCCGGTAGTCTACATATTCCACACGCTCGCCCGGCCCGTGTAGCTGGCCGTAAACCCTCTGAAACCTGCTCACGATAGGCATTAATACGCGCTACTTAGGCCTTAAATGGCTCTGAACGTAGCTCGCGAACTTCCTGGACTATAAGATCTCCTTCGTGATCTATCTGCCTTGAAGATCGGGTCCGCTTTTGCTTCTTCTTCTCGTTTTCGGCACGTAATTCCTTATTTTCTTTAGCGAGTAAGATAGCGCCTTACATTATAAGACGGAAGCCTTTCATAAGTTAGTTTAATGCACGATCTGACGGGCTAGGCGGACTTCGAGATCTTATACGAAGTAAAGCTTTGATTAACGAAGCCTATCGACGTAGTTCTTTCTCTGTAGCTAGTGTTTTTAGTGTAAAATTCCGGCTCGATTCACTCCCCCGGCTTAGAGGGGGGTCGGTGTTCGAAGACGAATATTTAGCTTCGAGATCACTTAATTAGGTGTAAAAGGCACTAAACCAGCTGCTCTAAAGCTATTTTTAATAGTCTCCGATTTAAAAGCTTTAGTTCGTGCGAGGGGGTATGCTTCGAGGAAGTTAAGTTTATCGATATGGTTGATTCCATTTCTCATTTTTATCTTAACCAGCCCACCCTATGATCGTTTTAACACCGTAAAATAACCGATATCGAGAGGCTGTAAAAGGTGAGAGGAGTGAGGAGGCATACAGATCGGTATCACCTTATTTTACTCATAAATCTCGTCGAATTTTAGGGTTAAATGGCTTCCGTGTCCGTTAAGTATTAAAAGTCGATACCCCCCTTCGTACGTAAAGAAGTCGTCGGAATAAAGAGCTTTTCGAGCCAGCGAACTCTAATTTTATCAGAGGTCTAACCGTTCGGACTAACTTTAAATCGCTAGTCATCCGGAAGGCCGTTAAACTAAGATTCGAGGAAGACTTTACCTTTAAAAATCACACACGGAGGGAGGGCCTACCCCGAAGCATTCGTACACTTAATAATAGTCACCCATTCACGATTTCTAGGCTATAAAAGCGAGCGCCGACTAGGGAGACCACTCCTCGTGACCACCTTCGCTGTAGCGATTAACCCTATCGCGAAACCAGTCTCGTCGAAGTTATAAACGTTATCGGGGTCGATTCTAAATTAAAGGATTATTTTTTAAATAAGATCGAACTACCCTTAAATGATTTTTAGGTCTTCACATTTCGCACGTTCATAATTATAGCGTCTCGAGAATTAGGAGGAGAGGAGAGGGTGTCGTTTCACGAAGTTATAAACCCATTTTTCGCCGACCGAAATAACCGGGGTAGTTCCACGCTTTTAAAGAAGAAGATCCGCCATTTCTCGTACTATAGAGGGCCGGGGGGCAGATCCATAAGAATCCATAGAAAGAATCCATTTTTAAAGAGATTCCTCCTTAGTTTCTGTTAATTTCTGCGAATTTACGCGAGAATTCGCGCGGTTTCTGACACCATTAAGGCGCGTAGTAAGGGTGGAACGGGGTACGTTAAATAGCCGGGCCACTTCACGAATTGATGAAACTTCTTGCTTTTAAAAAGCCTGAATAGCTAATAAGATCCTACCCTCTTGCTCTGCTGAATTGCTAGAGGATCGGGAGCGAATTGGTGGCATGGTGGGTGGTTGAATTAATTAATTGCTAATTCACGGACAATTTTAGGTGAGGTGGCCAGCTGGCTTACATGGCCAGCTCGCTTACCGAATACGTTATCTTAACTAAAACGCCATTAAATTAAATACACTAAAGTGATCTAACTAGCTAGGTAGTTATCTATTAATTTTATGCCATATTTCTCTATAACCACTACGCTTTAGCGGGGCCCGCGTATATACTTAAGAAGCCGGCGAAGGGCTTCTTCGCGGAGGGGAGGTGCTTTAATTACTTCCACCGGCTTAGTACTTAATTAAGAAGCTTCTTAAACTATTAAGCCTTCTTCGGTGAGTATTTACCCTTAGGATCGAGTGAGCTTCTACTTCTGCTTCTCGTTAGTAACGCGTAATTTTTTATTTTCTTTAGCGAATAAGATAGCACCTTACACTCTAAGACCGGAAGCCTTTTACAGTGGTGTTTCATGAGTATTTGACCTTGGGTACTTCGGCCTGGGCCCACTTTGTAGGCCCACTTTTAATATTGCCTGGCAGAAACCTCCGAAATTCAATCCAATTCAATAGCTAGTATGCCAACCTTCATATTTAATAACATCAGCAACTCTATGAGGCATGGTATCAGATAGGTGCTTAAATATCTCGATATCTAACCCCTCCCAAGCTTCCTGGGCAGCGTCGACTAGTAGATCCAGCGTAGTCTCGTTATTTGGGAGCTGCATTAGCTCGGGGTGTCGCTTTAGTATTTCGGCCTTTAGGAGCGCCCATAGGTTCTCAATTGGATTTAAATCAGGTGAATAGGGAGGCCATTCCATGGTATCACATTCAAGCTCATTAAGGGTCCCCCGAATGATATGGGCTGTGTGAACTGGCGCGTTATCTTGTTGAAAAATAGCATCTTGATCGATACTATTAAGAAGCGTTGGAAGAACACGCCGGTAAAGCTCTTCAATAGTCCGAGATGAAACACCACCACGGCGAGATTGAGGATCACCGAATAGTGGAATTAAACCAGAGCGTCGTGGAAGACCAGAAAAGGCAGCCCAAAACATCTGTTTAATCTGTTTCCCACGGGGTGGAACCATTTGGACTTGACGGCCCTCTTCTTTATGCTCCCAAAGCTGGTCCTTTGGACGGGTAAATGTCCATTCTTGACGCTGGCCAATACCACGTTCAATAGTACACTCGTCGGACCAATAGACACGAGCCCAATCCTCGGAAGTAAAGTGCTCATATCTTCGCGCCCAATTAAGGCGTTTTTCCGCAGATAGAGGTGTTAAAGTAGGCCGTTGCATTTTCCGCCACTTTCGAAGGCCCATTTCATGGGTTAGCCGCCAAATTGAGGTACGTTTGACCTTATTATCGACCTCTGTAAGTAGGTCTACGACTAAGATTGACGGGTTTTGTTGTATAGTCTCATAGATATGGTCACGGTCGTCCTCGGTAAGCTTCCTTGGCCCCCCTGAGCGTGGTAAAGACTGTTGCTTTTGACGCTTTGACTCTTGAGTAAGGGTGTACTGAATAGTTGAGCGTGGAATGTCTGGAAATCGCTTCTTTTTTATAGTTGTTGCACCCCAACCATTGGTACGATGTAGTTCACAGATCTGAGCTCTAGTAAGACAGTCAAGCTCTGGGCCTCTTTTCCCACGTATGGGAGGCATGGTTTAGTATAGAGAATAAGAAAACAGTGCGAAAATTCCTTTAAAACGCGTTGATATCTAGTGTATATGCTAGCGCGTCAGGGTGCACGAGGTTTAATATACTAATATAGTAGGCGGTCTAAAATGGCGGTCAGAGCCTAAGGTGGGACTCGAAGTACCCAAGGTCAAATACTCATGAAACACCACTGTATAAGCTACTATTAGAGGGAACTTCGTTACCTTATACAAAGTAGAGCTAAAATTAACGAAGGCTATTAACGTAATTGTTTCTTTATAGCTAGTGTTTTTAGTGTAAAATCTCGACTTAATTTACTCCCCTAACTTAGGGGGGGGGGGGGTCGGTGTTCGAAGACGAACATTTAGGTTTGAGGTCATTTAGTTAGGTATAGGAGGTACTTTACTAGCAACTTCGAAGCTAAAACCATTATCCTTTAATTTAGGATCGACCTGATAATATATATAACTTTTAACGAGACTAGTTTTTATAAAAGGAACAATATTAACTATAACGAAATTTTAAAGAAGTCATTTATCTACCTTATTAGAGAGTAGTTTTATATCCTAGAATTCGTTAATAGGCGACTATATTTAAGTGTATAAATATGCTCCTAGGTAGGCGCTTCCTCTCTATATATGATTTTTAAAGGCATTCCGGAGAACTAGCGTTTGAAGTAAGCCCCAATGGCTGGACTTTAGAAGAAATTAGACTTAAGTGGCTTAAAAACGCTCTTAATTCTATTAACTACTTCGCGTACGAAGGGAAGGTATCAACTTCTGGTACTTAATAGTCACGGGAGCTAGTTAGCTCGGAAGTTCGACGAGGCTTATGAGAAAAATCATATTATACTACCCTATACACCTCCACACTCCTCTTCCTTTTTATAGCCTCGTTATTTTATGTCTGTGTGTAACTATATAGTCGGCTAGTTAAGACGAAATGCAGAACGGGATTAACTATATCGATAAACTTAACTTCCGTAACGTATACCCCTCGCACGAATTAAAGCCTTTAAATCGGGGACTATTAAAAGTCCGGTAGTTCGACGCTTTTTTAAGGACATGATCCGCCATTTAACCCCCCTAAATTCGACGAGATTCATAAAATAAGTTAAAAGATGCGCCCTTAATCCTTATATTGTATTATATATAGGGATTATTATAGGTATATATAGTATATTACTATAACGTCTCATTAAAACTAATATATGATTATAAAACCTTACAGGATAAAATATCATATTTAGAAGAGTGCCTTTATAGTATTTTTAGTCTTATATAGTCTCTAGTCGCTATCTGCCGAGTCTACCGGTTTAGGTAGATTTATACTAAACTACTGATTATAGGGGTTCTCCCCTAGGGGATATAGTTCTAGGTGTTCGACGGAGATCACCGGATAAATGGCCAATATCGGCGGTAACGCTAGCTCGTATACGTTCGTTAACGCCCTAATGACCTTAAATGGGCCCACGCGTTAATCGTTAAACTCATGGTGTGTCCTGCTTAGTACGTTATAGCCGCTGTGTAGCCTAACGTATGCTAAATCACTGACTACTAGTTTTAGCGGGGTATACCGACCGTCGAATCGCTCTTTTATGATCTACTGAGCATATCGAATGGTGTCAACCGCGTCTAGCCTATTGATTACTCGGTCCTCTTATAGGTTTTCGACTTTCATCTGGACCGGGGTATTCGGCTAGAATCCGAACACCATTTCGTTAGGTGTTTTCCCTATGTTTTCACTATGACCGACCGTATGGACCGAACTATTATGCGTGCCCACGATGATAGGAATCGCAGCTTTCTAGTCTTTATACCTAATATCGTCGGCGACGAACCGTATGGCTATTTCGGCGGTCTGATTCGTCTGCTAAAAATAGCTTCGGAGCAGCTGGCTTAGTACCTTTTACACCCCACCGAATGATCTCGAAGCTAAATATTCGTCTTCGAACACTAGCCAACCCCCCCCCCCCCCCCCCCCCCAAGCTAGGGGAGCGAATTAAGCCGGAATTTCACACTAAAAACACTAGCTACAGAGAAAAAACTACGTCGATAGGCTTCGTTAATTAAAGCTTTACTTCGTATAAGATCTCGAAGTCCGCCTAGCCCGTTAGATAGTGCATCAAACCAGCTTATGAAGGGCTTCTATCTTATAATATAAGGTGCTATATAATCCGCTGCACTTCTTAAGAAAGAAGTAAGCGAATTACGCGCCGCTAACGAGAAGCAGAAGCAAAAGCGCACTCGATCCCGAAGGCAGATACCTGCCGAAGAAGGCCTCTCAGTTTAAGAAGCTTCTTAATTAATTACTGAGCTGGTGGAAGTAGTTAAAGCACCTCCCTCCCCTCCACGAAGAAGCCTATCGCCGGCTTTATAACCACGTTCGCGGGCCTCCCTAAAGTGTAGTGGTTATGGAGAAATAGGGCATAAAATCAATAGATGCCTAGCTAGATAAATCAATTTGGTTGAATTAATTTAATGATGTTTTGGTTGAGATAAATATAGTTGAATCCAATGGTTTGGGTTAGGTGCGCCACTCGCTTGCGTGCGCCGCTCGCTTACCGAATACGTTAGTAGGTATAGAAAACTTAAATAATGGTTTACCTATCAATGAGGTTGCATACAGTAATCTGATGCGTATAGATAATATTATCTATAATAACTAACTATTCTATTGATAACGTATTTCACAAGCGAGTGGGCCACACAAGCGAGTGGGCCACCCAACTAAACCCATTGAATTCAACTATACTTTTCTCGACGAAAACACCATTAAATTAATTCAACTAACTAACTGGTCTATCTGGACATGTTTCTCTTCTATGCCCTGGCAATCTGCATATTCCACACCCCCGAGGGGGCCGCGTACGTGGCTGAATAGTCGATTCTCTAGGCATGCCGGGGCCGGGGAGAGGTGCTTCAGTTACTTCTTATTACTGCATAATTAATGCAGAGGCTTCTTTAACTGAGAGACCTTCCTCGGAGGGTATCTGCCTTCGGGACCTAGTCCGTTTTTGCTTCTGCTTCTCGTTTTTATCCCGTAAAACCTTGTTTTCTTCAGCTAGTAAAATAGCACCTTACATTAAAAGACGGAACCCTTTCACCAGCTGGTTTAATGCACGATTTGATGGGCTTAGTGGACTTTAAGAGCCTTTATGAAGTAAAGCTTTGATTAATGAAGCCTGTCGACGTAGTTCTTTCTCGGTAGAAGGCGTTTTTAGAGTAAAATTCCGGCTTAAATCACTCCCCCCTACTAGGGGGGGGGGGGGGGGTTAGGGTTCGAAGTTAAATATCGAGCTTTGATATCACTTAATTAGGTGTAAAAGGCACTAAACCAGCAGCTTTAAAGCTATTCTTAATAGTCTCTAATTTAAACGCCTCCATTCGTGCCATAGGGTATGCTTTAAGGAAGTCAAGTTTATCGATATGGTTAAGTCCACTTCTCATTTTTAACTCCACCAGCCGACCATAAGATCGCTTTAACACGGCAAAATAACCGATATCTAAGGGTTATAAAAGATAAGAGGAATGTGTAGGCATATAAATTAGTATAACCTGATTTTACTCATAAATTTCATCGAATTTAGGGGTTAAATGGCTTCTATGTCCGTTAAGAACTAGAAGCCTATATCTCCCCTTCGTACGCGTAGAAGTATAAGGAATAAAGAGTTTTTTAAGCTAACGAAGTCTAATTCCATCTGAAGTCTAACCATTAGGACTGACTTTAATTCGCTAGTCGTTTAGTAGGCCTTTAAACCATGATTCTAAGTAGACTTTACCTTTAAAAATAATACACGGGGGGAGGGCCTAACTAGACGCGCCTATACACTCGATAGTAGTCACCCACTCACGATTTCTAGGTTATAAAAGCGACCGCCGACCGTGGTATTCATTACTCGTGATTATCTTTACTGTGGTAATTAATCCCATGGCGAATCTAGTCTTATTAAAGTTATAAATATCGTTAGGATCGATCCTAAATTAAAGGACTGTTTTTTAGATAAGATCGAACCATTCAGAAATGATCTTCGGCTCTTCGCACTTCGCGCGTTAGTAATCGTAGCGTCTTAAGAATCGGGAGGAGATATAGGGATGCCGGTTAATAAAGTTTGTCACCCAGTTATAGCTAACTGAAGGAGCTAGGGTAATTCCACGACGTTAAAGTAGTATATCGGCCATTTCTCGTACGGAGGCAGGACGGGGAGCTACTCCACGAGAATCCATAGAGAGAATCCATTTTTAAAGAGATTCCTCCTCAGTTTATGTTAATTTATGAGAATTTACGCGTGAAATCGCGCGGTGGGGGATATGCTGTAGACGGCGTTAGAGAGTGCTTCTAGGGACTTCAAAATGGCGCGCTGCTTCACGAAGAGAGAGCTTTGGCTGGGTTTTTATAGCCTAGATAGCTAATAATACCCTACCCTCTTGCTCTATTGATTTTTGAGAGGTTTGAGAGCGAATTGGTGGCATAGTGGGTGGTTGAATTAATTAAGTGCAAATTGAGGGACGCGTTTTGGGTTGGGTGGCCCACTCGCTTGTGTGGCCCACTCGCTTGTGAAATACGTTATGGAAGGTTTAGATAATATGTCTTATCGTATGGCTTATGAAGCTATAATAGACTCTGTAAAATGTCTAGATATACTGATACGATTCCACTAAAGAAAGAATAGTGGAATTAGAACAATTTTTATTACCACTAAGTAATGAATTATCTTTAAATTCCGGAATGATTAGGGAAGAAATCTCCTGTATACTGGATATTTTAAGCTATCTTAGTTAGATAAATGTTATCTAATGTGTTTAACTGTAAATAGCTATAAGTAAACATAATTTAATTTTAAACTATGTTATAACAGCTAAAATTATAGGTACTGGTATGGCCATAACAGGATTAATAGGAGCAAGAGTAGGAGTTAGTATAGTTTTTGGTGCATTAATATTAGGTGTAGCAAGAAACCCTTCTTTAAGAGGACAATTATTTTCATATGCTATATTAGGGTTTA